TCTCTGAGTTTGGTCTCTAGGATAATCTTTATTTCCAAATTGGATGTGGGTACAATTAAAATTAATCTGGATCTTTAAAGAAAAACTCATATCCTCCAGACCTTTTCTGATTTAAACAGAATACAACAATTAGCCTTATACCAAAAAATACAGCTGTCAATCAGACAACTGAGGGTGAGGCAGATTTAAGATTGTGGAGAGGATGACTGAGAGAATATTTTAAAAGATGCCACATATGAAATTTTAAACGTCCTAGTAGCTACATTAAAAAGGTAAAGTCTGGAGAAATTAATTTTATTATATTTAATCCAATGTATACAAAATATATTTCAACATGGAATGTGTACACACATATACTCATGCACAATCTTCAGTGTGTATTTTATACTTACAGCACATCTCAACTGAGATTAAGTATATTTTTAAGTGCTTAATAGCCACATGTAGTTAGTAGCTAACACACTGGATAAGGCAGTTAGAAAATATGAACTGGGAGGCTTTACTGTCTAGGAAACAATTCTTTATCAAAATGGCAGAGTTTTTTTAGAGAACAACATATAACTGTTAACCTTACTTGAGGATGCCTGCTTTTGTCCAACAACTTAACACAATTAAGAAGCAATGTCCTAATCGTCCCATAGTGTTTCTTATTTTGATTTTTCTTCATCATCATGTTGCAAGCAACTCTAAAAGAAATATTTACATCAACTTTATTTCCCATGCATCATTCCTGGCAAGACTTAAGTCTAGGCATGCTCTTATTTGTTTCTAACAAAATCAGGGTTACAAGCAGCAACTAAATATTGAATTATACCCACTCACCCCCCAAAAGTTTATATTATGCTTTCATAAGGAAGTTGAGTAATATTTGGTACAGTGTGTATACATGTATATATTTTTATGTATATATATTTTTTCCAATGTGAAAACCTAACAGGTATTTAAAAGCCTTGGCTTGGACAGTGTGGCTGTACACATTAAAATTTTACATATGCCTACTTCTACATCTTAAATTCATGAAGCACTCACTTATATAAAAGAATGGCCACTGGCATTGTGAATGGATTTTGGTATTTGTCTTCGGTTTCTTCACAAAGAGTAGTGAGATCGTAGAGTTTCACTATATCACTGCCACTTGCTGGAAAGAAAAATAAATAAGCCTCATTTTACAGTAATTCACCCAAATCAATTATTGTTCATTCAAGTATTAGCTTACCTTTAAAGAGCCAATAGGTATGTCCTTCTTTGGTACAATTTGATTTCAGAAATGATAAAATATTCTGTGCAATGTCTTTTATGACTTTAGTAGAAAAATTAGAATTTTCCAAATTGGGAATCTCTTCTGTCTTTATCATTTCATATTTCTGTAAAACACAGATGGAAGGCAGTTTAAGAGAACACTCAAGGCAGCAACACCTTATTAAAAAGCAACCAAATACATAAGTTCTGCAAATAGAGACCTAAGCAGCACGAAAACGTTTAAGCCAGTGGTTTTCAAGCTTTTTTCTGCTCCACCATTCCAAAGGAATTTGATCCACCCCCATCAGCAATGGTGTTTTACTACCAGATTAATTCTCAATGGCGAATCACTACCAGATTTAGAACCTCAGATTTACGCATCATCTTATTTCTATTCTAACATGGAACAAATCGTACTGAACACATTCTTATATTCCACCCTAATGGTTTCAATTGGGAAGATGGTAAATGTTGGTAGATTTTACTCAGCAAGCTTTTTAAAACTATCTATTTCTGGCCTTTTCTTTCCCTAGAGCTTTGAACTCTGTTCCTTTACAGGGATGGAGGATAGGGATGTGGAGGTGACAATAAGATTAAAGGCTACATGGACATTACTACCACTATTTTAAAAGTGCCTCCATGTTTTTCTCCAGCTTGTCTTCTGCGCAAACTTCCTGAAACACCTCTCACCACATTTTCTTAAGTACTCTAATACTAAAAATTCCAAATCAGTTGGAACATAAGAAGAAACACAAATGCCTAAGGCTAGTTTTCATCCTTCTCAGTTCATCGCAAGTCCCCAGTGTTGACTATTTCCTTCCTCGAAACACTCCTTTCCTGTATTTCACACTGCACTATTATGGTTCTCCTTCTCCCTCCCTCTGAATGGCCCTCTGTGGCCCTCCAGGTTCCCAAGTGCAACCCCTCGACTGAATCCAAACTTTGGATTCAGTCAAAAGGCCACACACTTAAAGATCCAGAAGGCCACATACAGCCCCAAGGCCCAGGTTCCCCACCCCTATGAGCTTTCCTCAAACTAAACATGTGACAAAAACATTATCTTCCTGTCTAAACTAATTCAATGTCCCTATCTCAGCAAATGATATGACGTTATTCTAGTCCCTGAATTCTGGAATTCCCTTCAACTCTTCCTCCCTCCTTACTGACGCTTTACCTGCCTCTCCCTGTTCCCTCCTGCCCCCACGCCAGCCTCTCACTAAATGTTGCCATTTAGGGAGACAGTTTAACAGTGGTTCTCAATCAAGCTGGAAATGAGAACCATGTACAAGGCTTTCTGAACAAACAGATGCATAGGTATCTACCAATCCTGGAACACTGGGGGGCCCAAGCAAGTGCATTTTTTAATAGGCCACAAGTGATTTTGATGCATACCCCAGGTTAATAATCACTGGGTCGTTGTATAATGGTTAAAAGCATGGCCTCAATCAGACAGAGGCTCAAACACTGGCACTTACTATCAGTGTTGCCCTGGGCATCTCACTTTACCTTCCTGATCCTCAGTTTCCCTCTCCATCAAATGGGAGTAACTCCACACGAAGTAGTGAGAAGATTAAATAAGGTAGTGCATGTAAAGCACTTAGCTAAGTGTCTGGAACAAAATAAGCACTTAATAAATGCTAATTATTATAACAACTGTTGATTCTTAATATTTCCTCTATAGAATAAGCACATTATACTATTTGCAATAGTGGTGCAATGCCTGACCAGTCTTCTTGTCTCCAGGTCCTCCTTGTCTACCCTATATGCTATCTCCAAATTAATATTCCAACTCAACAAATTTCACCTCCCAGATGTGAAGCCTTCACTGGCTCCAGATTACCAACTGAACCAAGTCCAAATTCCACAACTCAGCATTCAAGACTTTCCATTACTTGGCCATAACTTTCCACCCTTATTTCCAACCATTCTGCGACATAAAATCATGTGCTCCCTAGCTGGATTTATTATCATCAATCCCTTTGTTTACTAGTCTTTTAAGATCCAGCTCTTATATTTTGAGATGCTAACTATCATTTAAGATCCACTTAAAATGCCACTTCTTCCATGAAGTCTCTCTTCTAGACCAAAAGAGAAATGACTTCCCCCTTCTGATGACCCAGACTTCTGCGTGTCCTGCACTTCTAATACTTATCTACTGTCTCCTCCTGTCCCCTCTGCACGTCGCCATTTCCCATCAGATTACATCTTTCTGAGTAGTGACCAAACTTATTGTTTTCCAACATTTACAGTGGGGACAAAGTGTCTCTTACACAGAATATGCTCAATAAGAATTTTCTAAATAAGCTGTCTACCTTATGCAATTTTCACTGTGGCCTTTCCTTAAAACTTTGCATATACTGAGAAGATACTTGTATAATGAAAAAACACCTCCACTGTACAGACAATTTCAGTTAATTACTATGGGTACTTGGCATTATAATTAGAGTTCTATGGCTACAAATGTAGGTTTCAGTATATTTATGATCTTCCCATAAATTACCTATAAAATTATACTCCTGTAATATCTAGAATTCTGATCTCACCAACTTAAATGTGAAAACATTCAAAATTCAGTTTATTTACAGCTATCTTCCCTGCCAAAAATACACATTAGTATTTAAGGGCTTTAAAAACTTTGGTGAGGTACTCTCTGTACCATTTTGCATTTGAGAGATTATTAGAAAAGTCACACTGTATCTTACCTGTACAATTCCATTTACATGAAAACACATCACAAGCTCTGGTACATTGCATATCAAGTTGTCCAACCAATAGTCAATTCCAGTTAGCACATTAATTGGTTTGTTGTTGTCCCTAAAAATATACATTTCTAGTGTTATTTAGTTGAATTAAGATGTTCCGTAACGAATCATCTAAGACTTATTTCCCGATTTAAATATTTTAAACTATTCTTCCTAAATAAAAAATGTCACATATTCTTTCTTTTCTGATGAGATATGTACATGTAGCTCAGTGGTTGTGTTATATTTAACATCTTTCCAAAAGCTCTGTATTTCTAACTGGCGTCAGTAAGTTTTCAGTAAGAATAGAAGAAAATGTGAAAGGAGATGACCATAAGTCTACTGTGTGCTTCTCACATGACCCGAAGAAAGAGTGACCATGATAACACTTAAGTGAGAATAATGTGAACAAATATATGTGTGGCATTAAGAAAAATGCTTACAATTAGTTAACAGAAAGCTGGCAAACCACCTCCTTAACTAATTAAATGAACTACAAATTGTAGATTCGGACAAAAGACTAGGCCACTCCAACAGACCTCTGGCTCCATTCAATCAGGCCTATAATGAAGACTTAGCTACAGAACTTCCAGCATTTGCTGAAAGTAGCTCCTTCCTTACTGTGACCATTTCAATTGGCAGGGGAAGAGAGGGAGGTGAAAAAACCTAAAAAAAGAAGAGGATGCCCAAATAGATAAGGGAAAGCAGATGGAAAACTGATTCTAAAGGAAGAGTTTAAATACCATAGCTTAAGGAGGGGTACAATGTTGGTTTACCTGAGACGTAAGCTGACTGCTGGATACCTGCCTCCTCCAAATATAGGCATGTTGGAACCAACCAACATATGGATATCTTCAAACGTCCATAGAATATTCCGAACAAAATCATTTTTAAGACCCTTTGATTTAAAATAGGAAGATTATAATAAACAGGAGATCCATAATA